AGCCCCTGTATTCATTTTCTATTGTTGCTGTAACAGATTAATGCAAGCTTAAGTAGGGGCAAATAACTCACATTTCCTATCTTAGAATTCCACAGGTTCCGGATCTCATTGGGCTAAAATCAAGGTGCTGTCTGGGCTGTGCTTCTGTAGTGGGACCCTAGGGTAAAACCTGGTTGCTTGCTAGTTCAGGTGGTTAGTAGAATTCAGGTCCTGGTGAGGCTGAGGGGCCCTTGTTCCTTTGCTGCTGCCAACCTAGGGCCATTGTCAGTTTGCAGAGGCCACACACCTTGACTTATGTCCCTTCTTTCTATGTTTAGGGCCAGAAAAATAGATTGAGTCTTCGGATTCTGAATCTCCTCTGCCCCTTCATTAACCTTCATGCTTCTTTTGAATCCGGTGTCTGCTTTCACCTCCTGCTTTTAAAGTGTGTGTGGTTGCATTTGGCACAGCTGGTGTCATGGTTAGCAGTAGATGTAGCACCCAGGACAGGCTCATGAGTTGAATGCTTGGCTCTCAGATAATGGCACTGTGGGAGGTTGTAGAAACTTTAGGAGATGAGACCTGGCTGGAGGAAGTGGGTCATTGGGAGCAGGATCTTGGGGCTCCCTGGCTACTTCCTGTTCCGGTCATACCATCTGTTTCTTGCTCATCCGTGAAGTGAGTTCTTCTCTACTTAATGTTCCCACCATTGTGATGTTCTTCTAGTCAAGCTCTTGGGGCCATGTGATGACACACTGGACTCTCAGAATATGTGAGCCAAAATAAATCTTTCTTCCATTAATTGTGTCTGTCAAACATTTTGGCCACATCACCAACAACAAACTAACCACTGAAGGATCTCCCTGCTCTGAATTGACCTTGAGTCCACTGGCAAAGTGCCCTTTCGTATGCCACATAATCTCACACAGTCTCAGGTGGCAGGGATCAGGACATGGGCATCTTGAGACCATTGTTCTGTGGAGAGAACAGTCATCCTGTCCCCAGCCTTCCTCGCTTTAGGTGGACCTTAGCCAAGTCTCTTGACTCCATTTAGCCATGTAGAAAGCAAACTGTCATTGCATATCTGCTAAGTTTCAAGTCATGTGCAGAGCTTCGAGGATGTGGAGACAGACATGGCGCCTGTCTGCCTCAAGATGATCACAGAGATGAACACAGATGACTATGTACATGTATGAAATTGTCAAAGAAGACAAATAAATAAAAAACAATTTAAAAGGTACACATATTTTTGAGATAAAGACAGATAAAGACAAACGTATTAAAACAAGTAAAAACTGAAGGGTGATTTGTTCTTACTAACTCGAAAAACATTTAAGTCAGTTCACGCCCAGAGATGTCTCAGAGGCCTCTAGAAGAAGACAGGCTATTGGCGTTGCTCTTGGTTGCCCATAAGAACTAGATAGTAAGAGCTGATAGCCAAGGACAGCTCACATTTGGGTTACAGGACACTGAGAAATCAAGGTGGAACTGAGCTGCAAACTGGCTTCCCGCTGGCTACCATGCATGGTGTGGAAGGTGCTATGCTGGCTGCTGGGGAAGACACGTCAGTCATCTCGTCCATCTGTAGACCATGTGTGCCACAATACTGATCCACCAGGCAAGAAATGCCTACTGGCACAACAGTAGCACAACTATTTTGGTGATAACAAACTGCTTTATTATTGGATTTGAGGCCTGTGCTATGGGAGGGAACAACACCCTGAGACTAGCAGCCAGGTCAAAAGCTTATGCCTGGGGAGAGCATGAACCCAAGGGAAGACCCCCAATGCCATTGTTTTCACATGTGAACACATTTTCTAGCTGATTTCTAAATATTTATAATATTTATGTTTACATTCATAGACAGATGTGGCTTTCCATCTGGGGTAGTGAAGCTCCTTTTTGTAGAGGGTGGTGGTTAATGAGGTGACTCATGTCTGGTCCAAGTGTGGATAATAAATGGCCAATGAGCACTGAGCTGTAAGTGGGACATCTTTATGTACAACCTCCAGAGTCAGAGAGCATCATGGAAGAGAAAGCAGAAGTAACTTATGACAAGGAGGACTGGGAAGACTGTCATGGAACACTGTCATCTGGATATGGCATAGCCATAGCAACCATGAGCATGCAGCACCCATGGCCACCTTCAACTTTCCACCAAGAATGGAGGGGGTGTCCATGAAGCCCCACCCTTCCTGAGGAGCTGATGGCGGCTAATGCCTACTGGAGGATAAGATGTCACTGGAGGACTAGTCAGGAAGAAGAAGGGACAGAGGGAAAGGAAGGGGGATGTCTGAGGGCAATGGGGAGTATGAATATGATGACAACACAGTGTATGTATGAAACTGCCAAAAACTAAAAAGATAAATCAGTTTAGGACGCAGATCTCCCCTAAAATGGAACGTATATTAATTTCTATTGTTATATCTGCCCGAAAACAAGCAGAGGCTGAGATCTTATCTAAGACTTGGGGGGTATTCTCCAAAATAACTGACTGTTGACAGAATTTGGTGGTTCATGGTTATAAGATTGATGCCCTCATTTCCTAGACAGGCCATTATTTCTCTTCTAAGTGCTCTGATAGCAAAATAATAACCCTGGGGCATAAAGTACATTATAGGCCATCATCTTTATGTGATGGTTGGTGGCTCTTCAAAGCCTGCAAGTGAACCACAATGCTTAAAATCCTTTTGACTTGTTCCTTGTCTGGCCTTCAGTTCTTCTTTCAAAGTGCTCACCTGTTTAGTTCTGGCCCATATGGGAACATCTTCTGTTTGGTTATCTAAAATTCAACTGATTAGGAATCTTCATGGGATTTTGAAATGCAAACTAATTATGGGAATGATACCAGTCACATTTATAGCTCCTGCCCCGATTCAAGGGGAAACAGAGAGTGTTTCACCAGGAAGGGAAGCATGGGGATCATTCTAGAATTCTGCATAACCCAGACACTTGTCTTCAACAGAAAATGATGGAGAGATTTTTAAGGGAAAGAACAGATATTGGGGAAACTGAACTGTGGTTCTTATGGTTCTCATCCATTTCCATCCACCCATCCATCCATTCTTCCTTCCATAATTTAATATTTGTTTATAGAAAAAGGCTCTGTACATGTACACCAACACATACATGTGTGCTTGGGGACTCTCTTTCTCTCTGCTAATGATCTCCCTGGGGAATGAGACCTCCAGGTGAGTTTTTCATGAGTGAAAAACAGCACCGTGGTTTGTAAGTCACTTAAAGTTAGTGTATGAAATGAAATTGTGTTGAAGGCTTTTAGGGAATTTTGGAGCAAGGAAGTGATTTTTTGTGGGTCACTTTCAGTCTAGACTTCTGAGTGCAAGCAGATCTCCCGATGAGCTTGGAACTACCCATGTGCCGGGAATCGCACAAAAAGGATGTCTAGGCAAGTTGCCCTATGCCCTCTCAAGAAAGCAAGTCTGTTCCTAGTGTGTCAGTTGTTACTCTTAAATACATCTCTCACTCTAGCTTTTTTGCTCTGAGTGTCTTCTTGATTTCTCTGCATTTTCAAATGTATAATGTTTTATTTTCTAAGAGAGTATTAAGTTCATTGCAGCATAATTCTATACCTACATGGAAACCATCCAAAGGCAGGAAGGGTATTTTACCCCACATTTTTATAACCCTGGCCCTCACATACTTGAACACACAAATCTCTTGAAAATTGGCTAGGTTCAGTAGAGTGAAGTCTAGTCCCGTGAGCAATTTGTGGAAGTTCACTAACTAGATTTCTTTCCATAGCTTTTAGCTGTAATTGTGCTACAAACAAGTAGTCCAAGGAAGGAGCTCCATTTAATCCAACTAGGTTTATTTTTTCCACTTTCATACCAAATATGTCCTTATAAAAATGGACCATTTCCTCTAATCCATTGATTGAATAAGATTATAGTTATTTGTCCTAGGATCTCTCCAAGGGATCATTCAGACAGTTCTAAGACAGTTCGATTTATTTAGTCTGGCTTACTGATGATGAAGTTCACTGTTAACTGGTCAACACACACACACACACACACACACACACACACACACACACACACACACACACAGTGCTGAAAATAGCCCGACTCCCTTTCAATAAGACACAAAGGGTATTTAAGCTTCAATTTCACATGCATTATTAATGTATTTTTTAAAATATTAATAGGCCTAAAAGCCTGGAGCAATGTATGTGATCAATACTGTATGACATCTGAGTCACCCAGGGATGAAGACAGGGCCTGTCTCCAGCCGTCACTCTTTCATCAGGGCAGCCCTGTGCCACCTGGAGCCCTGGTGCACACACTGCTGCCAAGCCCAAGGCACTTCCTTTCAGCTCAGCCCTGGCAGTACTTCAGAGCTCTCCACAGGTTCCTCCTCAGAAACAGTGATCTGTCAGGACTCCTCAGAGGAAGGAGGAAGTGCAGGTCCTCAGGGATGGCCTTGTTTTCTCTTTTAAGCACTTCTGTCGCTTGAATAACAACACTGTGGAATCCATAATAACCTGACATTTGAACTGAAGCAAAGTCTAATTTATCATCCTCCAACCTGGGAACCAAATTGTATTCTCATGTAATAGTTCCACCAACCCAGGCCAGGGGAAAGGTGTTATAGCTACCATAGAAAATAAATGGCTTGAGGCTACCTGAGTATGGACTACCTACCTTGAGAATCTTTTCTTCAGGCCTGTGACTATTTTGTTTTTCGAGACAGGGTTTCTCCATGTAGTTTTGGTGCCTGTCCTGAAGCTTGCCCTGTAGACCAGGCTGGCCTCGAACTCACAGAGATCCGACTGTCTCTGCCTCCCAGGTGCTGGGATTAAAGGCATGCTCCACTGCTGCCTGGCTTCCATGGTTCTCTCTTTCTGACATTGGTGTCATGCACTACAGGGAATCCAAGGGTGGTATCCACCTATGAGGTGGCTGGGATCTGGGAGTTAGAGGGTGCTGTCTTCCAGATTTTCCAATCATGAACAGAGGGGCATTGTTTGATTTCACTCTTGGTTTCATTTACAATAGTAAATATTCAGCACTATGTAAATATTTATTAGATGCCTGATAACAACAATGCTAAGTATTAAGAGAGCTACAAATATGTGCAAACTACATGTACAGAAAGCTGACAATCTAATTGAGATGTAGTCATACATTTTAGGTAAATGGCATTGTTGAAAGGATGAGTGAAATATGCCAAAATAAATGACCAGGCTAACGACCAGAGTCTTGGAGAGTGTCTAAAGAAACATACACTGTGAGACCCAAACCTTAATATTTGCTTTGGCCTAGAGTTGCCAAGAAATCTCTTAGACAGCCCCTGACTTATGATGGTTTGATTAACATTTTCAACCCTATGAGTGAGTAAGGCAATATGCAATGACTGGGCATTTTTTTGGGGGGGTGAGCTAGTAATATGCAGTGGGTTCCCCTATGATGATGCCAGCCTCAAGGTCACAAGAGGAAACCATGGATACTCAGCAGTGTACTGTTTAAAGATTTAATTTTTTTTAAGTTAAAATGTTCTCATTTCTTTTCAGATACATGAATGTTTTACTTGCATGTATGTCTCTGCACCATGTATGTACTTGGTGTCCACAAAGGGTAAAAGAGAGCCTTGGATCCTATAGGACTGGAATTACAGATGTGATCATAGGACTGGACTTACATCCAGTGTATCTGGGCCCCAGTTCCAGCTGTGCTCTGCTTCCTGGTCAGCCATGTAATAAGCAATCACCTGATGCTTCCAGGGTTCTGGCTGGGAGCTGCTTCTAGTGCCCTGCTTACTGTGATGGACCACATTCCCTGGAACTGCGAGCCAAGTAAGTCCTTCCTCCCCTAAGTAGCTTTTCACAGCAATGAGAAATTGACCAATAAAAGGCTGTGAGCCTTTCATAAGCCAGAAGAACTTGCATGTTCTCTTTATGTTGGATGGGCATCATGTAATATGTGAGGCTTGAGGAGTCTTGCATGGGTAAGTGTAACAGTTACTATATACAAACAGTGATGTGTCATTGACATATACCATTATACATTTATGCAGCTCAGGAGTTTGCAGGTTGGTGGGGGAATATCAGCAGTCTAGCCTGGGCACCTTTACTGTTCCTGGGTGCCTTGTATGCTTGTGCTCAGCTGGCATTTGACAGGTGTTGGGTTCCTGTATGCAGCTCTGTTTCTTACTGTGGTTCTGTGGACAATTTGGGTGTTGGAGCTTCTGACCATGGCAACAGAGGCAGCTCTTCTTCCAGTGTCTCTCCTCTTCTTTCCAATTCAGTGGGCTAGCCTGGGCAAGCTCTTCTAAGAGTGATGTCAGAAGAATAGGAATGTGGGAACTCATAGAGCCACACAAGGCAGTTCTGAGCCAGCACACTGATACTTCTGCATTATTGTATGGTGTGTATTTTTTCTATTAATACAGACATATGATAAACTCTAATTTCTAAATTAGGCATTTTAAGTAAAAGATTGATGGCAATAGTTGATAATAACATAAATGGAATGATGATAAAATAAAATAGCTGGAGTAACACTATAACAAAATTATATAATTGTGACTTTTTTCTCTTTTCAAATGTACTGTTCTCCTTACCTTATGATGACTGGAGATGTCACAATGTCTGTGCAATGAGGAAAAATGGAAGAAGGATATAGACATTGTGGCCCAGCATTAAATAATTACATGAGAGTTACTTCCCCATAAGCAGTGTGGCTCTGCTACAATCAATCTGATAAGCTGCTAAATGTGACTAATGGGTGGTAGTGTATATGGTGTGGATGCACTGAGCAATGGGATGCTTTATGTCCTGGGTAGGATGGTACCAAATTTCACCACACTATTTGAAAGTTGTGTATTTTTGAAATATTTCTTTTAGTAGTTTCAGATTGCTGTTGGCCATGGGTTACTGAAACCATGGAGAGTAAAATCATAAACGTGTGGGTAGATCATGTGTAATGTTGCTCTAAACAAATCACAAGGCTCAATCCAAAGTCAGGGTGTATATTTCACCCTCTTTAAAGGGGGTTTTGAGTCGGGGGTCTCAGGAAGAAGATGGAATTGCAGTCAACTGAATCTTCCCCCTGGCTTCACTCAACAGTTCCTGTGTGCGCTGGCACATAGCTTATTGGCAGAGGACTTTTCTAACACATACAAGGCATTGGATTTGATTCCTAGCACCAAAAGGAAGTCAAAGCAAATAAATAAACAAAAAGACAATAAAATAAATAGAAAGAATTCAAGAAAAAGTTCAAGGAAGAATACATGCATCTTGGCAGATCTTTACATACGATCATGGATCTACCCAAAGGCTGAGTCCCATTTGCAGGGTGAATGATGGAGACCAGAGTGCAAGAAGCAGCCAACATTCTTGTGTGCTTTCTGTGGTCACTTAAGACTAGGAGGCATTATTTCCCTGCCTAGAGGAAACCTCTTTGTTGTAGAATATTATTTTAAGGTGTGTTACTTTTGTTTATGTTGCATTTGTTTAACACTGTGAAGCTGTGTTACTATGCCTGTCTAAAACACCTGATGGTCTAATAAAAAACTGAATGGCCAATAGTGAGGCAGGAGAAAGGATAGGAGGGGCTGGCAGGCAGAGAGAATATATAGAAGGAGAAATCTGTGAGACAAAAAGAAGTAGCTAGAGAAGGAGGAGGACTCTAGGGACCAGGCATCCAGCTGCACAAACAGCAACAGAGTAAGAAATAAAGTTATTCAGAAATAAAGAAAGGTAAAATCCCAGAGGCAAAAGGTAAATGGGATAATTTTAAGTTAAGAAAAGCTGGTGAGAAACAAGCCAAGCTGAGGCCAGGCATTCATAATTAATAATAAGCCTCTGTGTGTGATTTATTTGGGAGCTGGGTGGCAGGCCCCCCAAAAGAGTAAAAAACACCAACACCTCTTTTGGAGAAGAGGATTGCTTTACAGTCCCTTTGCCTACCTTAGGGACCAGCCCAACTCTCCAATGACCCATGCATATCTTCCTAGTTGAAAGATCTGCAGCAGAGAAGTGATCAGGAATTCTCTTTCTAGGGGCACCCTTCTTCATTCCATCCTTGGCCATAAACAGTGGTGCTTCCCTTTCTCCTTCCTTTCACTTTGCTTGGATGGGAATTCTAAGAATCTTTGAGATTATTTTTGGTCTTCTCCATTCTTTGCTCTTAACTTTCCTAGCCTCACAATCTTAAACTTAACTGGGGTCAGCTGACCTTTTCTTTCCTTCGGATCACTCCGAGCTCATTAGGAATCGGGCTGAGCAATTGTACTTGTTTCCTGAGTCCCTCCTGTGGTGGTACTGTGTTCCCCAAAATATTGTGTACCTTAATAAACTTATCTGGGGTCAGAGAACAGACAGCCACTAGATACAAAGGCTAGAAAATGGTGGCACTCACACCTTTAATCCTAGCATTCCAGAGACAGAAATCCTTTTGGATCTCTGTGAGTTCAAGGCCACATTGGAAAGGCCAGGCATGGTGACTCACGCCTTTAATCCCTGAAAGCGAGTCTTTAATCCCAGGGAGTGGTGGTAGAAAGCAGAAAGGTTTATAAGGTGTGAGGACCAGAAACTAGAAGCATTTGGCTGGTTAAGCATTTTGGCTGGTTAAGCTTTCAGGCTTCTAGCAGCAGTTCAGCTGAGAGCCATTCAGATATGAGGACACAGAAGCTTCCAGTCTGAGGAAACAAGACCAGCTGAGAAGTTGGCCAGGTGAGGTTAGCTGTGGCTTGTTCTGGTACTCTGACCTTCCAGCATTTACCCCAATAACTGGCCTCAGGTTTGATTTTATTAATAAGACTCTCTAAGATTCCTGCTACACCCTCCTGAACCGCTTCTCCATCAGCATAACTGACTTGCGCGGAGCTATAGCCTCAGCTCTTTCGAGAAGAAAACGAAAGATTACTGAGTGTCTATTATGTGTCAGTCCTGATACACATATTATCTCAATAATGCCTGACGGTGTCAGCAAACCCGGTTGGACTCCTGCTGTGCCCCTTTTCACTAACAAAGAAACGGAGGTTCCAAGTCTAAGGTTACACAATTAGGAAGTGGGGACTCAGAATGATGCTCAGGTTTGACTCGGTTCCTACAATCACCACACTGTTAGAACCCCACCTTTGCAGACTGGTAGAAACACAATCATCTGAATACTCAGGTTTTGGGAAAACCCTCATTTATTGGACCTCATTCTGCTCCACTGGAGGGCAGGCCAGAAGATCCAGGAACAAAGCCCTTCCTCTCCTCTCCAGTGCTGTTCTTGGGTAGTAGCTCTCGGCAGTGATTGACAGGTACCACTGTAGCCAGTGATTGACAGGTACTGCTGGGTAAAGGCTAAGTCCGGCTCTGCCTGCAGCGCTTCTCAGAACTCCTTAGTGGAATTAAGGGCCCTTGCCCTCTGGCAATTCTTTCCATAGAAGCCTTCCTTGGCTGCCCTTTCTTTTTGCTGTCTCTTCACCTTACCCTTTTAGGGCTCCTTGGGATGTCCTCCTAGATGAAGTCTAGCCTGGTATTCCTAGGGGGCAGAGCCCCACTCCAAGATAGGGAAGCCATCCACTGATGTGCCAGCCCCTTACATACCAGTGTGGTACTTACATCCAACCTAGATCCAACCTCCTGCCAGGTGTGGCCAACTTTTTTACCTTTAGATATATTATCCTTTACTAAGTTCAAGCTTGAGAATTTACAATTGAGTTGCAAAAAAGAATGAAAGAGATCTCTTAATATTTTAAGTAAGTTTACTATTTTGTATTGAGTCACATTCATAGCCGTCCGGGGCCACATACAGATGAGAGACCATAGATGGGACACACCTGAGCCCATTTCTATGTGTTTTATAGTAATTAATACAATATGAATGCTGCAGTTGTTATCTAACAGCTTGTTGTTTAGGGAATAATGAAAAAAAAGTCTGTGCATCCTCCATTGGAATTCACAGATATCGTCAAATCTTTGTCTCAACACATATCCCTGAGAAAACTCCGGAATAGCCTCTTTGAATTTTACAGGCCCACCAGCCATGTGTGACTTGTGGCTTCAACAAAGCAGGCCTACGAAGCAAAGATGAGATTCTGCCCTACCTGCTCCCAAGCTCTTCAAACTGCCACCTCTTCCACACACCACACATTCCTAAAAAAGTACTCCTTCAGCTACAGACTTAGCACAGCTTCAGTCTTGGACCCGTGCTACAGATACAAGTCTGGAATTATCACAGGCTAAGAGCTACAGAGCAGAGTCACTTCCCTATCTGCTTGTTCCTAAGCCTTGCTGTAAGATACTCCCTGACTGCACCCTTCCTAGGCAAGTGCCTGCACCCTCCTGGCCTCTCTTCCCCCATCCCGAGCTAGAGGAACTGTTCAGACTGTGGCCTAGGTGAGGCAGGGAAATGAAGCTCTGACCTGATCAAAAGTAGTCTCTTGGCCAGTACTCATTTTATGGTTATTGCGATTGGGAAAAAAAAAAAGAACTTTAATTATTTGGAATAGTGAGCACTTACAAATGGGACCAGACCCTGAGATTCAATTCAACCTTTGAACAATAGAATAATCACAGAAGTGGCTGTTATTATCCTTTGCTCTCCACTCAACAGACTCAGTGTGGATTTGTTGAATCAAATTAACACTAAAGACTTACATTTATATATTGATTTGCAGTTTTCAAAGTATTTTAATTCTTAGTTTAGTGCCAAAGAGCCCTGAACTACCAGCACATGCACTCTCTCTCTTTTCTGACTATTTGGAATAACCAAGCTATGAAAAGAACTTTGCTTTGGGAAACATTTTTGCCTGGTTTGAGTATGAAGAAATTTTGCTGAACAGCTTCGGGTAGAATTCTCACTTCTTATTGAAAATAAATTAGTAAAGAGGAGGAGTTTGCTCCCACAGTATAGAACATTTCTGTTTAATCTTTAAGAGATTTCCAAGCGTACACTGGTAGCAGGTGCTGTCACATATCTCTTGGGCCCAACACCCACATGTGCCTGGAGAGGGACTGTCTATACACACATGAGGGCTGTCCTCCAGCCTGGGGAGGCAGCCTAACTATCTCCTGGGACCAGCCCTAAACCAATAACTGCTGGAGTTGTGTTGACTCCCCACCTCCCCAGTCCCCAGAGGTCCTATGCCAGGTTAGATGCCTCTGGTACTCTGTCTCATTTAGTCTATATTATCTCTCAGATTGTCCTAGTGGGGTTAAGTTCCAGCTGCCTCAGTGGTCACTTGTTTGAAAATGCACCTACCCATCACGGCTGCCTTCTCTTCATCTCTACTTTCTGGCACTGTGCAGAAAGAAAGAATTTTTTTGCTGAAACTCTTGTTTTAGGGGTCTATTTCTGGGGGAAACCCAAACAAGTACCTCCCCAAAGTACCTTTTCCTAGAAGGGCACTGGGTGAGCTCGTCACATTTAAGCCATCCAATCACTTAGTAATGTGGAGATGTGGCCCTGTAAATTCTTTTCTCACACGGCTTTTGAGCCTATCATGGTCTGCTGACTTCATTGCTCTCCTCAGCAGGTTGACTCCACTTGCACTTAACGATCATGAAATATTTAGTCAAAAATAAGACAAATTACACTGTTAGGTTTTGTCTCAACTCTACATAGATTGAGAGAGACACTGTGATTTCAGAGAACTGGTCTTGAGTTTATGGGGAAAGTGTAACTCGGCGGCGGGGGCAACTTTCAATGAACATGCCGATGCCTGCATATTGCCTCTGCCGAGGTTGGAATGAAGACATCGGTTGTGTTTAAAGAGCTTGTAGGTTTTTCAGGGAAACAGTATATGACTTGCTGAGTGCAAGAGTAAGTGTGAAGTTCTAACCCAGTGTTGTGCTGTGAGTCTCTGCTGATGGTACTTGCTTGTAGAGGGGCCTTAAAAGCGAGGCTCAGTGGAACGTTTGAAACAGCAAAAACTGTCAAAAACGATACCATTTATTCTCCCTCTCACAAAGTGGTGGTTGCGATGTGAGTTACCGCAGTTTCTGGCTCTTGGTCTTCAGTGTTGGCCAATCAACACCCAGCAGGCTGATTATCCCTTTCACTTGAGGACTGCACCTGGCGTGGGTTCAAGCCTTGCCATGCTGCTCTCCTCTCTGCCTCTCCCTTTGTTTACTTTCTTGGCAGTCTGTTCCTCCAAACTTCAGCTTGTTATCCGTTCTTCTCGAAAAGCCACCCACCTGACATTCGGCCAGCTCCCCTATCTGAGCAACGGCTCTAACAAGGTGGGTTGATGGAGTGTGCACACTTGGAGAATGTGGGTGTGATTCTGTCTTCACATGAGTATCTGAGGTGCGTGTGTGTGTGTATGTGTGTGTGTGTGTGTGTGTGTGTGTGTGTGTGTGTGTGTGTATGTGTGTGTGACTGTTCCTGCATTGGGCATGCATGTGCTTCTGTGTGTGGGTATCAATCCTCTGCATGCATGCATATTGCATATACTTGAGTGTGTTTCTGAAAACCAGACGCAGCGGGTTGCTTAGAAGCACACATTCCCCCACACCTTAAAATCAGCTTGTACTTACATAGTTGTAGGCCAGGTCTGGGTGGAGGTAGTCGATTCCTGAGAAAAGATAACACAGGAGTGGAAGGTTAATGCCTGCCTTTGTGTTCGCAAGAAAGCTGCCCAGGAACGGATGCTCCTTACAGGGATGATGGTGCAGGAGACTTGGGGGAGTCAGAGGTGGGGAAGAGGACACTTATCCTGAACGCTCTGCTTTGCCTTCCCTTTCTGTGTTGGGGAGGGCTGCATCACTTCCTTGGTGGAGAGACAGCGGCCCCCAGACACACTGCAGAGCAGTGAAACCAATTAGAGCTCTGGGCCCACGGATAATGCTTCCGGATAAATGTCAGCAGTCAGGGGCTTAGTGACTGTGAGATGGATGGTTCATCACAACGGCGATGTAAAAGAGATTGGTAGAAATCCTGACATTTCTAAAGCATCAACTAGCTTCTCCTCTGAAATGAAGCTGGCCCCAGGGAGGAAAAGGGATGATTATTTAACAGGGCACGGAGAACCATGGATTAGAGCACACTCCAGCATGGAAATAAGAGGCGTATGACCGGGTGAGAAAAGCCATTAGGAGAAAGCTAGCGGTTTCTAGTGAGGTGTTGCCAGTTGGGAGCTGACGCTAGTCTCTCCAGAACGTGCCTTTCTGGTAAGCCAGAGGCTTCAATCTCCTCAGCTGGAGTTCTGTGCCTGCTCTTGAGCTGGAGCCTGTTCTGGGCCCAGGAGGCATTCCTGGGGTAGAATTATGGCCTATTTACGCTGTTGAGGTACATCAGACACTTTGACCTCAGAACTCACTGTAGAAAGAAACCCAGGGGCAACTGAAAAGCTTTCATTCAGGTCCACAGGACTGTAGAGTCTCAGCATATGCTGTACCTGTGCATTTGGCCAGTGCAGAAACAGCAACAGAGCAGGGCCCTGCAACTACACACGATCATGGTTATGAATGGAGGTGTTTGGAGTCAAAGAGCGGGGTTTGACTCCTAACTGCCATGATAACCAGCAGGATGACTTCAGGGAGGTTATTTGGCCTCTCTGTGATTCTTTCCTTCTTTGAACAACTGAAGGAGAGATGAGGGCAGGACTCAAAGAAGCTCATGCACATGGTAGCTTTAGCCTAGCAGGAGGTGCATTTAATAACTATCCTGGGATGCTAGACTTATGAGCTAGAAGTACCATTAAGCACCTTCTGTTGGCATCTTGGCCCCATACATACTAAGACTGTGCCGCTGTTATTGGAGCTGTGCCAGCCGTCCTAAGGCTTTGTGGTGGAAAACAAAACAAAACAAAACAAAACAGAAAACCAAACCAAATCTCTTGAATTAGGATGTATATATTCCAAAAGGAAATTTTCATATTTTTTCCAGGTCACACTAATAATTTCTGGGCCGAGAGTCACTGAACAACGATGTGAGAGCAGAACTAGTCACCTGTCACTCACAGGCACGATGCCTTCTCTTTCTACTCTCCTGACAAAAATCCGTAGAAGGAAGTGACCTTTAGAGTTGGGGTGAATGCCTGCGTTGAGACCAACAGTTCCATTCAAGGGTCAGATGCTGTAACCCTGATGTTGATTTTGCCAAATAACAGTACTTCTGAGCTTTGACTGCGTCATCTTTGAAAATGAGGCTATAATTTATCTTGCTGAAAGACCTTTTAAAGATTAGAAACAATCCATGGAAATGTTTGGCTTTTTCTATCATGGCCTACTTCCTGTTCTTTCTCTCTGCCTCCTGTGTGAGGTAAGATGTGCTCAGTCTGTTTCCTGACTGGCATGCTGGCCTCACACTCCTCTTACCATGCCTTCGCCTTGATATCCTCTGGAACTGTAAGCCCACACAACCCCCAACCCCTTCCCAAATTACTTTTTGTGAGAGCATTTTATTACAGCACCAGAAAATAACTAACACAAAAATTGCTTTCAGAGAAGTAGGGTTGTTGCTGTGATAGACCTGATTATGTTGCTTTTTGAAGGAGCATGGAAGACTTTGGAACTTCAGGCTAGAAAAGTTATGCGCTGTGGACAGAGCTTAATGGGTCATTCTTTTCGGAGCTGGGAAGACGGAACTGCTGAGAGTGCAATGGACAGTAGTAGAGACCCAGCTCATGAAGTTTTAGAGGGAACACAGATTTTATTAGCAACTGGGTTAGAGGCCATTCATGTGATAGTTCCTCAAAGAATCTGGCTGCATTCTGCCTGTGCCCTGAGAATTTGCATGAAGCAGAATTAAAAAGTAATGGACTAATTTCTCTGATGGAGGAGATTTCAAGACAGAATAACATTGAGTCTGTGGAATGTTTATTACTGATTAAACATACACAATGGGGAGGAAGGGAGCACCAGGAAGCTTAAGGTTGTAGCCTAGGCATATGCTGAAAAAGACTGTGCTATTAAAGGGCTTTGGGCCATTGTCAAAGCCTCCTGCTCTGGCTGAAACAACAGGAAAGATGCCCTGAGGGCAAGACCCATCTTCTGAAAGGAGGGAGACTCAGGGGTTTCCTGGTCTTAGAAAGCAAATGCCCAGGGAAAATTTCATTGGGATCAGTGTGAGTATAGAAGTGCTACAACCTTGGTTCAGGGGAGCTAGGCTCCATCCCATGCTGGTAGCAGAACATGGTAGTGTTCCTCATGTGGTCCTGGTTCTGGAAGCATGAAAGATAGGAGACTGAAGAGTGGGGTCATAATTTTTTCTCTGTGGCTTCAGAGAACTACTGTGGCTAGGCAATGTGTGTTAAGCTTAGAGTCCTTGAGAAGCTATTCTGTGAAGCCGTGAAGATGAAGCCTGGGTAGTGATGGAGATTCCAAGATGTTGAACATGCGAGAGCTGTGGGATAGCTGCTAAGGAGGGCAGCATTAAGGGAGTAGAACTAGCCTTAAAGAGAGATACATGACAGGCAGCAGAGTTGGAAGGGCGGAGCTGCTTAAGCTCTTTGAAACTGAAGCCCCAGATGTCAGACATAAAGCTACAGGTTTCGGTGTTTATCTTGCTGGTTTCAGTCTAGTTTTTGTTCAATATTTTCTCACCACATCCCCATTCCTCCTTTTTGGATTGGGAATGTATATTCTGTATATTGGAAGAATATAATTTATGTTTTGATTTTACAGGGAGTTTACAGTAAGAGTTTACCTTTTGGTATTGGACTAAATGTATTTAGTATTATGAGATAGTCTTGAAACTATAGGGCCCAGGGGTAGGAATTTGTGGTTTGAATATAAAATTATCCCCACAGGCTCATACATGTCAACTCTTGATCCCCAGCTGGTGGTGCTATTGGGGAAGGTTGTGGAACCTTTAGGGGGTGGGACCTCACTGGAGAAAGTATGTAACTGAAAGTGGACTTTGACGTTCATATTGTAGACCCATTTCCTATTCTCTCTTTCTGCTTCCTGTGTGTGGGTGAAATGTGATCAGTCCCTTCCTGGCTGCTGGGTAGGCCCCTCCCTCTGCTGTCATGACTTCCCTGCTGTGGTATACTGTCTCCCCCTCCCATGCCCCCGGGACTGTAAACACAGTAAACACTTTCTTCTCTGTCTTGCTTTTTGTCAGGGCCTTTGATGTAATAATAGAGAAATAACTAATACAATCTATCACATCACTGGAATAATTTTAGCAGAAGAACAAAAACATCTTTAGAAATTGGCCTGATATTAAAATCTGTGTTGAGATGAAATTGTATATATTTGTTGAAATTATTTAACATTGCTAGGCAAAAAGTTTTGTAACAAATGGTAAGCTAAACACTGCCACCCCCACCCTACTACACACAAAGAGCATGCTTTTAAAATTGGAAATCAATTTTAAAAACACAATTCCATGTTCTGACAGTGGACTTTGTTTAAGAGAAGAATTGGTAATCTTTTCTTTGTGAAGGGAAATACAAGAGCAAGGAGATGATATAAGACCAGGAAGGAATTAGGTTTCAAGATGATATATTTATTATAATTATAATAAAGAATCTTTAAGTAGGTTAAGAGAAAGAATGTTGTTAGAATGGTTGCAGACTTGGGCCTGAGAAAGAAAATACTATTGATTGAATTGTGAAGGATGAAAGACATTTTTCTACCAATAAAAGAATGATTTAAGTGAAAGTAACAACTTGGTAGATAGTACTTTAATGCTCATGCATATTTGATTATCTCTTAAAGTAGAATATACTGAACACACGTCCTTTGTGTGTGTGTACTTATGCATGTAGAGGCTGGAGTTAGATGTCAAAGGTCTTCCTCAGTTGCTCTCCACCTTATTCTTTGCAGCAGGGTTCTCTCACTGAACCCTAAACTCACTGACTCAGGTAGGCTGATGCACCAGTGAGCTCCAGGGATCTTCTGGTCTCTGCTGCCTGACCTTGATCCCCAGGGATGGGGTAACAGATGTGCACAGCTTCACTCAGCTTTTACATGGGTGCAAGGGATTGCAGCTCAGGTCCCCAGGCCTTACTGACTAAGCCACCTTCCCTGATGGAACACATATTCTTTTATTTCTTTAGAGACGGTAACAAAATTACCTAGCAGAGCCCATCATCTCACAGAACTATGAGGCATCGTAGCTTAAAAAAATTATCTAGGTGTTTTGTTTTCTGTAGCAGACGTGACCAAAACAATAGAAAAATCAGGAATTTTAACTGAGAGATGATGAGCTCAACTTAGGGGGAATTTCAAAGACCACTAATCTACAGAACTAAGGTAAAACAGGAAATCCTTCTGGGGCTTTCTAAAGTGTTTTGCCTCTCAGTCTGGGGCAGAGTGAGGCACCTTCTCATTTTCCGACGTTGGAAGGGACGGCTTGAGTGTCATTCAAGGAGGCTGTGGACAGAAACTGCACCGGCATCTATAGTGCTGTTGGGAAGTTGATCATGGCAGGGTGTCTGCTGTCACTGTGGTGCCACACTTAGGACGGCCTCTTTATTGACAGTAGATGACACACACAGGCTGTTAACCCTGGCTCTCACAGTACATCCTAGGTGGTTTCTTCCAAATTTAGATGCCTCTTTTTCGAGTGATCTGGCCCCAGCTGCTCTGGAAAGGAGTCTAAGACAAAGTGTTCAGAAGGAAAAAAAAAATATGTTCATAAGCTCCGACCATCTCTCCACACAGTTCCTTTCTTCTAGGGAAAGCTCTCAGCACCGGAGAAGGCTTTTACATCCACTTCAAAACATCTCACACATCAGAGGCTTACAGAACCATTGTTTCCCATTGTTGTTTAATGAGCTCCCACAAAGACAGAACAGATTTGGAGCAGCCTGGCTCCCCTTGTTTTCTCCATCAATTCTGCTTCAAAGGCTTGCTTTTAGTCAACAGTGTTCTTTGAGGAGGTTCAGAAGGGAGAGGCTCCATTGTTTCATGGCTATGTAGGCTTTGTAGGTAATTAAACTGATTATGTAATGCACTGTGGGGTTTTTAGTGGAAGAACCAGTGAGCTGACCAAGGCGAAAGGGACATCCCAGCAAAATGACTGCAGGGTAGTGGTGTCCTTGCAGGATCTCGCCAGAGGCAAGCCCACGCACAGTTAAGAAAACACGAATTCACAAAACTCTGAAATCTCTAGCCTGCATAGCAGAGTAACATATGGAGCTGTCAATGATATAACCATTATCAAAGACTGCCTGACAGGGGCTTATTTTGAAAGTAACATTAAAGCCAAATTGTCTAAACCCCAATCTTGTCATGGACTCAAAGCCACACTGTCAGAACTCTCTGTGATTATTGAAATGGATTTTTGATTTCAGCAGTTGAAATAGCCCATGTGCCTACCTAAAACAAGGAAGCTGAGGATGTAGCTGAGTGGTAGAACAACTGCCTAGCAAGGGTGCACGGCCCTGGGTTTAATTCCCTATAGTGTGAAAAACAAAACGCTAAAATGGGAAATGGAGCTGTTGTGAAGAATTGGATTTTAAATTGCTGTTAGCTCCAATTATTAACTCTGAGTGGCCATGCATAGTCAGCAGCCACAACACTGTACAGGGTGGATCTAGAGGAAGAGAAGGCAAACATACATGGGTTTATAAGACGTTTTAGGTAAGCTGTAAGGATCGGGTCAGTAAGAAAGCAAGTCAAGGACAGACTGGTTTCTTTAGTTTCTTATTTATCACTTCAAGCAATACTTGTTGAGACCATCACCAAGTATCATGATTACTGATCTGGATAAAGGGGAGGATTTTGTTAAAGTATGGTAAAGCGAGCATTAGGTCAAGCTTCAAAGTCGTTAATTGCCTGATTAGCCTCTATCAAACACAAATCTTTCATGTCTGGAGGCGTGAAAGACACTCTCTTGCAAATGACTAGAGGGATGTGAGATACTCACCATCGTCCATAATTCCAATGGTCACTCCTTTCCCCGTGTATCCCAGCTCCCAGGCTTCGGCCACGTTCAAGTCTAGCCCGGGAGTGCCGTCAGCTTGCCCAGTGTTGAACTGATAGAGGAATTCAAAGCAGAGAACGGGATTGGTTTGGGGCTGTGACATATGCTGGTACTTGGTTGCCAGACATGGTCTGCCTGGCCAGTGTAAGGCCATACCCTTCATGAAACATGCTTTAGGGTGGCCTACTTCACCCCTTAGAGGCTTCATTTTCTGTTTGTTTCACATAAACAGCTGATTTTTCTGCTTTATGTAAAGATTGAAATTGCTCTAATACCCTTATCTCAAAACTGCATTGCCATCTTTAAACTAGTTTTATAGGAATAGACATATAGCTCAGTGGTAAAGTCTTTGCCTAGCACACACAAAGCCCTAAGTTCAATTCCTGGCACCACACAGAAAATTAAAATCTTGGAGAAGAAATCACAACAAATCCTCCAAATGGGGAATGAAACATTTACTGTCAAAGCTTGGTTTAGCTCATGCTTTGTAGTACATAATGTCTTGGGTTTTTACTGAATAAAGTTCCTTCACTAAATGACAATATCCTTTCTTTTTGGAGGAATGTTTTTACCTTGGGAATTTTAGTACCACTGCTGTGGGATGGTCTGTATGTCAAATGCTCTGATTGGTCAATAAATAAAACACTGATTGGCCAGTGGCCAGGCAGGAAGTATAGGCGGGACTAACAGAGAGGAGAACAGAGAAAACAGGAAGGCGGAGGGAGACACTGCCAGCTGCCGCCATGACAAGCAGCATGTGAAGATGCCGGTAGGTAAGCCACGAGCCACGTGGCAACTTACAGATTTATAGAAATGGATTAATTTAAGCTGTAAGAACAGTTAGCAAGAAGCCTACCATGGCCATACAGTTTGTAAGCAATATAAGTCAACTGTGTTTACTTGGTTGGGTCTGAGCGGCTGTGGGATTGGCGGGTGACAGATTTGTCCTGACTGTGGGCCAGGCAGGAAAACTCTAGCTACATACCACTATACCAAATCTTGTTCTAAAATATTTGTTGAAGTAAATTAAAGATAGGTGATTATTCTTCAGTACATGTTTTCATACAGAAAAATAAATTCCTCCTCGGTTTTTGTGTATATTCATGTGTATATTCGTGTGGATGCATGTGTGTGCACAGCCCAGTTGTGTGTATGTGCATATGTGTGGAAGTGAACAGTCATCTTTGGGCATCGTTCCTTAATGACCATTTTGTGTTTTGAGACAGTTGAGGGCTTGCCTTGCCAAGTGGGCTGGGATGGCTAGTCAAGGAGCCAAAAGGGTTCCTGTCTCTGACAACTCAACTTTGGAATTCCAAGTGCATGCCACCATGTATAAGCACCATTACAAGTGTTTTTCACATGGTTTCTGGGAATTCAACTCTGATCCTCATGTTTACATGCCAAGTACTTTATGGACTGACCTATCGTTCCAGCCCTTTCTTCATTTTTATAAAAGGAAAGATGAAGGAATGACTCACATTAATACATTCACTAGCCTCTTTCCAAGCATATATGGTCTGTACAGATTTTCTCAGTGATGGCTTATGAAGAAATAGTGAAGTTGGAGGTGTGCTGACAAAGGCCCACTGTGACCAGAGGCTGTTCCAGTATTACTAAGACTTTACTGGAAGGTCATTAGTGTCATTAATAAGCTTCACAAAAGCTACTGTTCTTTTCCTTTCAGGCACACATTAAAGATCACACACCCCCTGCCCCGCCCCACCTTCTCATTCAGAGTGCTCAGGTAACTGGTTTTGGCCAGTACAATGTGAGCTCAAGTGCTATTTGTCACACTTAGGCAGAGGTTTCAAGAGCCGTGTATAGTTCATTTCTTTTCCTTGCTGAGGTGCTGTGGAAGCATTTAGGATGGAGCTCAGGAAAAAACAGGCATTGATTTTAAGAAACTACTGTGATTTGGGGGTTATTTGTTATTGCAACAAACCTACCCCATCCAGATTAACAGACATAAGTTCGTTCAGTTACCCAAACCTTCAGAATTCTATGTCCAAAGAAAGGCATAAGGCATAGCCAAACACTGAAGCATCCAGAGGGAAATGGGGATGCATCCCTATGGTTTAATAGTCTATATCATTTCATTTTCTACCTTGCTCATCATCTTCTAACCCTCCATAAAGTAAGACATCACTGACATTTATGAATCAGTCATTTATAATATGTTCTGCCACTTAGGTTGGTTTGGAGTCATTGATCTCCTTTAAAAAAAGATTTATTTTTATTATTTTTAATTATGTGTAATGTGTGGGTTTATGGAGGTGAGTGTGGGTTGCCTAAGAGGTCAGTGGTGAGGCATCCACTGAAGCTGAGGTTCCAGACAGTTGTGGGCTGCTTGACACAGGTGTCGGGAACTGAACTTGGGTCATCTGGAAGAACAGAACATGCTCTTAATCACTGAGCTGTCCCTCTTGCCCCTATTAATTTTTTTCTAAACACAGCTCCATCAACCCACATGGGTCCTGATGGACTGTGTCTCCAGAAAGTACTTGCCATGAGACAGCCTAGGTTTCAGTGCTGTGAATTCTGGTTCACTGTTACTGTTTTAGGCAGTGTTAAATGCCACCTTTGACAATCACTCAGTTCTCTTGCTCATGGAAACCCTGGATTCTTACTCTTGTGACTATGACTCCAATATGTCCCTCCCACTTTTCTATGCCTGTTGACACTTCTGGATTACTTCTCCTAAATATTTGATTTGACTTTCAGATGGTTCGAAAGTCTTCACTGGCATACAGGTAGACCTGTTCAGAATCCAGGACAATGTGATCATGACCAGCTCCTGGTAGAAGCATAGGGAGTAAGATGCATGGGAGGTAATAGATAGAAAATCAAGCATATTGGAGGGCAGAGGCATTCATTGACTTGGGTGCCGGCTATCATTCTGCCAAATAACAAAGAAATAGTTCATCTTTCAAAGTGAGGGCCATTATAAACAGTAGAGAAACTTACCAGGTACCATTGCTTTGTAAAAAGAGGATCATTCATGTTGATGTCAATCTCATTGATGTCCCTGTACCCTCTCTTTTTACGGGCAAATCCTTCTTGTTGCAGGGCCATCTTTACCTGGAATGACAATATCAATAGATTACCCAAGTACAAACTTTAATACCCTTCTGGAATTCATTGCCATGAACTCAGATTTTATTTGTAAACAATGTTTGTGTCGAACACATGTTGTTTTCCTCAGCAAAAGTAAGATTATCCTATGTAGGATCTCACTGTATAAATATTTATTGTCTAAGCATGTTTACAGAACAACTGGACATTGGGGATGGTATCACTGATTGGAGTCAGTTCACAGGTTGGTGAGTGCAAAGCCAAAATAGGCAGAGCCAACACATAAAGTGTGGAGGTAGATTCGCTACCTGCCATAGGCAGTGAGAGCATGAGAGTTGTTTTCACTGGGTTTTTATTTAGTTGGCCTGTGCGTTTTCATACAGGGGTGGGCCCAATTCTTGAGCACACACGCAGTTAAGGAGTCATTCCTGAGCATACTCAGTTTAAGTTCATAATTTAGGAGGGAAAGATAGTAGACACACATGCTTAGTGCATAGTCCTAAAACACATTTAAAAGATCAAACTCAAAGACAGGATACCTCTGGCCAGGCTCAGCTTGTGACATAAAGGTTTTTATCTGAAAGTAAGGGAAAAGACACTTTGAAGGTACATTAATACAGGCATTTGCCCCTGCAGGTGCCTGCCTTTATCAGTGGTTAACAACAGCCCAAAGCAAATTCCTTTAAAATAAGAATTGGATGGAGAAAGTATTCTTGAGGAAGATGACCATCAGGAAGTGAAATACATCAGGAAGATTGACCATCATAAAGTGAAATACAAGAAGACATAGAACACTTCTGTTAGGAGAAGGAAGCTGCTGAGGATTGAGGGAGAGTCTGGGGTAAAACCTGAATAGCTTACCTTGCCGAAGGCTTTTAGCCTTTGCATTTGCTATGAGTGCTGCATCTGTCACATTTGAGAACCAGCGAAACAGAATTCCAGCAGACACAAAGCCACCACTGTGAGGCAAGCCCCACTGCAAGCAAGGCTCCGAAAGGCAAGGGGGAAGCCTGGGAAAGGGGTGGAAAGTCTGCACTGTTTTCCTTGTTCCCATGGTTTAGTTTGGGGCAGCCAGGTGGAATCCCAAGCTCTTGGATAGAAATGAAATTTGGGAGCTGTTCAAGCAGGCTCCAGGCCATGACCAGACTTCCGTCTCATCAGGGAATTTCTTTTCACTTATGCATTCTTTTCTTTATTACTCAATTGCTGTGGCCAGTCTGACATCAATACGCTCAAGGATGAGGGATCAGCACGAAAGGGTATGTACTGGCTATTTATTATTATTTCTATTAGATTCTGTGACCCAACACTCTATTTAGTTCTTCCCAACTCTCCCTAGAACATTTGGGGGCACTTTCTTCCTGTCCCCGGAGTTCCACCTTAGTAGGGGTGAAATTCTGGTGCTTCCACTCTCAGTGAGGCTTCCTCACTCTCAGGATGCCTCTTTTGGTGCCTTCTCTCTTAGCAGTTGATTCTTAGGAAGTTGAGGCAAGGACAGGGAATACTTGGAGCCCATTTACCTCAGAGTCTGCTTACTGGACTCTCTCTAAACTTTAGAGTCTAAAGGATCCTGGCTAGAGCTTCTACAGTCAGGCACTGTAAGCCATTAAAGCCGACTCTTCAAGCTCCTGTTGATGGTGAGCCCCTGGCAGCTTCCTGATAGCTCTTCTGTGGAAGTGGTCCAGAATCTACTTCTTCTATACAGTCAGAAATCCTCATTGGTGTGGATGAGAGAAGGCCAGTAGGTCCAAGTTCCGAGTGATGCCGTAGGGCCAAGGGGAGAGTGGAAAGATTCTAGATTTTACTTAACCCTTCCTCTTCTATAGGGGAGCTTAGTTCTCACTTCAGAATTCTCCACACCTACCCACAAAGGCTAGCCTCATTTGGCAGAAAAATTCAAACTCGACCAGGAACTCTATACAGAAGTCTTTGTACAATGTTGCTCTGAGTTCTTGGATATTTTCCCAAGAAATGACAGATGCTGTGGTATAGCTAATAGCAAAGTACTTGGAAAAGTGGGGTTGACTGGTACTTTTTTTAAATGGCAAAAGTATTGACATTGCTCATGGCTACCAAAAAAGATAAATTATAGCTCAACTATATACACACACCTATAGACATATGCATGTATATGAATATTCATGTGTACATTCTTATATGCATACACATATCCTCTCTAAGATACAGATTCCCCAAATGGGATAAAACATGAGTAGATTTTATTGAGAGGAAATATAAGAAACTGTGCGGCAAGTAAAGGGCATATGAACAAAGTTGACCAAATGTATCCTTGACTGTTCTGTAGACTAAGGAAGCACCGGCAAGCTGTTGAGGACCCAAATCTGGTCATTACTGGAACTCTGTGACTTTCCAGGGCAATGAGCCTGCCTCAGTCCCCCAGTCCTGGCCTGGAGTAGCTGTGGGGAAGTGTGACCTCACTGCTACAGGTTTGCAGTCTTCAGAATGTCACAGCTGGGATCTTTGGCCAGTTATATTGCATAGAGTCAATGGTTCAGGACATTTGTTCTCAAATCCCCACCCTCATGAGTGTGTGCATGTGTGTGTATGTGTGTGTGTGTGTGTGTGTGTGTGTGTGTGTGTGTGTGTGTGTGTGTGTGTGTGTTGGAATTCATTAATACAAAAAACATTTAAAAGGTCCAAGCAAATGTGTGGTTCTCAGTTTGGAGGGCAGTCACTATGCGCATTTTTTCCAGACCTTTTACTTTGAAACAAATTTAAGCTGAGAATCCCTTCAGTTTAGGAAGGAAGAAGTCTGACCTCAGTAGCTCCTCTCCCCCAATGTGGTCTCACAGGGAGGCCTTTCTCCCCAGTGCTCACCACAGGGACACCTTTATTGACTTCTGTTGAAGGATTCTTGTGTTGGACTCATTGTCATGAATAACTTCTGTGAAATAGTAACTTTTCTTCCTAGGATCATTGGGAGGCAAGTACAACTACCAGCCGCCATGGGGAAGTTTGAAGACTCTTATCTCCATGGTGTTTCTAGCAGTCTAGGAACAAAAGGTCCACAGCAGCCTTGAGGTTAAGAGCCTCAGTGCAGGAATGACTTCACCAGTCACTCCAAACTCAATTAGACCAGGAGCACACTAATGAAAAGACTGCTTAATCCATTTCCATGAAATTAATTTTAATTTCATAAATGAGGTTTTAATGGAAACCAGTGATGCTTTAGGGTGCCATAGTCCCTGGACATCACCCTTCTTTTGCAACTCAGGAGTCTTAAGCTTGAAGCAGGCTTTCTACGTCTATATCTTCCTATCCTCCACAAACATCACAGGTGCACTTCGGCAGAATGTCTTAGCAAATATATGTTGTGCAAAACTCCAGAAGTGTTTTTTTTTCTCCATGCAAGTCTATTGATTTTATTTTCTGGGTTCTTGTTCATTTATAATTCATAATTATACTTAATTTTTACATAATTAGTAATAATATTGTAGATGAAATCATGCACTCTTTCTTTCCTGAGTGCCTTACTATAAAATTTTTAATGCTGCAACATAGCTATGGTATTTTAATTTCTGCATCTCTGTAGAGTCATGGACCAACTATTTCTCTCCTATTATTTGTTTAGGTTGTTTTCTGTTGCAACTGAAATAAACATGACAAAAGAGATGAGGTTGCAAGCCATTTTTAAAGAGCTCTGGGGAAGATTTCAATGCTACAATTCTATGTGTGATAAATCCCTTAATGTCAGGGCAATATTTTCCTAGTGCCTAAATGATATCCCTCACAATAACTACAAGACCACCTGACTCACTGTCCCTTCTTTAGCCTTTGAATTTTAGCCTGTTTCATGTAAAGCCCATCATCACCATTTGGATGCAATCCCAGTGACATTTGTATGACTTAATCATAACTTCCCCCTTTACTAAAATACAAAGCACAATTAACTTAGATGCATAGGTTTAGAATGCCTCCCCAAAGTGTGCCATTGACCATATGTACAAATGTCCAAGCAAAAACATGGGAAAGCAGGAGTGCTTGTGACTCCTTCTTAAAAAGAAAGGGGACTGACAGGTACCCCACAGTTCTGACTCAAGTTTTACACCTTATTTTGTCATGTGTGCATATATGGGACACAAATAACTCCACCCACCCCCTACTTCTTCTGGTTCTCAACTGAGAATTTCTCAGTCAATAGATGTTTTTTGTGTGCCTACAGTGTGTCAGTAAGGACAGTCCAATGACAACAGGAAGTAACCCAACACATTTACTTACTATTTTATGGTTGACAAGGTATGTTCCCTATCCTTCACCTTTCCAATAAAACTGAGGAGTATTGTTACAGCTGACCAAATAGAGGTTCAGAAGCCATGCCCAACAGTGTAAAAGGTGGCAGTCACTCAGGTTGACCGATTGATTCCAAATGCCCTGAACTTTCCATGAAGCCACACTGCTTTTCCCTAAGGCATTTAGCACAGTCAGCCTTCCAGAAATCTGGGACAGCTTAAGTGGGGAAATAACTGGTTAAGGACTGGGCTATGATCGCTTCCCTGCTGGGCTGATAATTAAACAGCTGTTAATTAGCATGGAATGTTCTGGGTTGGGAGGAGCCAGGAGGAAGGGGAGTAAAAGAGACACCTGCCTCTGACAGGGTAAGAAAGGTTTCAGCTTGAAGTGAATGCAAGAAAAGAAGCTAAAATGCACTCGTCTAGGTTATTTTAGGTACTGGGGCTTGTCAATCATGCTGTGAACTTAGGACATAAGATGGTGGCTGGCACTTTGGTTCTGAGCCACCAGAATAGGTCAGGGAAGTCACTGAAGGAGCAGATGCATATCTTAGCTCAAACCACAGGGACCACAATATCCTGGGCCATCACTTATTCTTGCAGGATTTGCAGCTAAACAGCAATCACCAGCAGACATTTGGGCTCCAAATCGACCATTTGCTTCCATCAGTCATAATGTGTACACAATTACTTGCATGCTTGCAGATTTTGCTCTTTAAAACTCTACCCCTTGGTTGGAGAGATGGCTTTGTGGTT